AGAAGGTGTATGATACCATCTGCCAAAGACGGCCTCGATATTTAGAAGCCCTAAGACAGAAGCACAATAGCTAAGGGCCATCAAGTTGGTTCTGTCTCCCAGTGACCCTATGCATGACAGAGTGAAATGCTACCTGCTCCGGTGCCGTCCTCACAATTTATGTTATGTTTCAGCTCCTGGTTGCAGCCACCAGGTCAATCCATCTCCATGAGGTCTTCCTCTTTTTCCCGAGCTTACACTTTACCAAGCACGATGACCTTTTCCATGATGATTAGACTTCTTAACAATGCTACATCGTATTTTTTAAAATAGAAACTTTGAAGAAGATTGGCCCCTTTTATGGAAGCAAACTTCTGTAAAGAGCAAATGTACTCACCAAATGACCACACATCCGACTTGCTGCTGTACTTGTTGTAGTGGGAAACTTCAGGAGGGGACCACTTGATGGGGAACTTGGCTCCAGAAGAGCTGATATATTCATCGTCCAAAACATACCTAAGGTCATCAGATTTAATGCGGGTTGTACTACTTACATTCAAGTTCCATTTACTTTAAATCAAATCCCTTCAGTTAACTCTGTTGTTAAAAATTATTTGAACCCCCAAAAGGTTCTGTACAACTTATCTTGTTGTTAGCAAAGCAGAAAACGATCTCTTAAAATATTTCTTCCCCAAACCAATCATTAATTGTATTCATTGAATGTCGATCTCAGAAAACCCATAGCAATTTTTCAATTTAAAGCACACCCCATGGTGTAGTAACAAAATGAAATAAAAGATAAGCCACCACCTTTCTTATACTGGAAAAGAATGATTCAAAATTGATTTAGATTTTCTTCCATATGCAAATAATTTTTGTGGACTATAGCATAAAGGGTAAAATAAAAGTATTTGAGCATTCTGCTTTTGATGTGAAATTTTCCAGTGCATTAGAATGATCCTACATGAAAGGAATATTAGACAGTAGTGAATCATTGAATTGGGTCCTGTATCCTGTACTTTTCCAGGGTTGTCCATGGTTTGAGTATGAAAAGAAATCCATCACCCACAATAGGTTAAAGGGATTCAGGAGCAGGACCCGGAGAGGCAAAAATATTCCAGATAACAAATCATTATAGATTTC